CCACTCCCATAACATGCCACTCGGCGTAGAAACCGCCGTTTTTGGGAAGTCGCATAGACGCATCAAGATCTGGTAAAAGCCATCGCGAAGGTCGATGGTGGAGAAAATGGTGGATCGACCCATGCCGTCGATAATAACGTCCTTGCGAGGAATCGGCGTCTGAGCCGGAATCGTGGCTGCGTTCAATTTGTTAAAGGCGTGTACAATACGCCATTTCCCACCGGGCTTCTTCACACAGAAGGTTGGGCTGCTGTGAGGGAAAATACTCTCGCGGACGTGACCCGCCGCCTTGCGGACCGCGAAGAATGGTGATGGCATCGACTTGGTCGCGAGGAAGCGGCCATTGCCGCGTTACACAATACTTTCCGCCGGGCACGAGGTCAATCTCGTGTTGAACGCCCTTGTCGACCGGGAGGCGACACGGTACCTCGTCGGGGAAGACGTCCTCAAATTCTTGGAGGAGGTAGAAATAGGGGTTGGATCGCAGGAAATCCCACGTCTGGGACTTCAAAGGAGCCGCGAGGACTGAGTCATCTGCGGTCGAGGTTGAAAAGAGATCCGTCTCTTCTTCAACTGTGATCATCGCCAAGGCGGCGATATCGTGGGCGCGGAGAGATTCCACGAGCGAGTGGAAGCTCATCTCTGGCAGTGCCAGGATCTCGGAAAACGTCCGAGGGAGTTCGTGCAAGTTACACGTTTCTTCGATAAACGTGGTTGCCAAGGTCGAGGCAACTATCGGGGGCGGTAACGTAGCCTTGACGATAACAACAGAGGGCGGCTCTGTTGGGGGCACAAAAGGGGTATTGTGCAACACCGTGGTTGGGTCCGATGGGGTCGCGGGCGCTGGGGCCAATGAGCGCACTGTGGGGCTAGGAGAGGCGAGATCATTACTCATCGCCTCGAGCGGAGGGCCCAGCGGGTTGGTGGTGGATGGGGGAAGGCGATCGGCAGCCCGCCGATGAATCCAGGATTGGCTCGCGTTGAGCCAAGTAACCTTGTGCACGGATTTGGCCATCCAGTCAATCCACGGCTTGTGGGACTCCAGCCAGGACATCCCGATGATGAGATCCCATCTCTCATCGAGGTCGATAACATAGAAGGTTCGGTCGAGTCGAAACCGTCGAAGATGATGGGAACGTCGACGATTATGCGTGGTTGAGACGCAGTGTGGCCGTCGGCCATCTTGACGCGAACCCTGTCGGAGGGATCCGACGAGGATAAGCGGTTGAAGCGAGAGAGAGTGGAGCGGCTGGCGTAGTTGTTCGACGCCCCACAATCGATTAAAACCGAGTGCCTGGCTTCCCAGCCAGGCACGACAAGTTCCAAACAAATCATTTTGTTGGGTTGGAGCCCAACACGACACAGAAGAAGGTCTGTGTCCGAGGCTAGGTCCTTAGAATGTGTCAGCACGCCACACACCTCCAAAGGACCTAGGGTATCCCCAGTAGGTCACCTCGCGCCTACTGGGAGCAACCGTTTCCCGCCCCACTCGAGCTCGGAGCGGGGCGAAATGGTGGGCGTGAGCCACCATGGCTTTCACGATTGAAGTGGTTAGGTGGACCGCTTGGAGGGCGACGCGAAGGGGTATCGGGCGCGGTGCGGGAGGAACCGTGTGAGGGCGGGGCGGCTGACGCCACACGGCGAGGGGCCGGGAATGCGCGGGAGAAGTGTCCCGGGTGACCGCAATTGAAACACGTGCGGTCGTCCGATGTCTGGGCGAGCATGGAGACATCCATGTCTGAGGACGCCGCGCGTGCGTGCGCGAAGGTGGAGAATGATTCCGAAAGCGCGATTCGGACGGCTTCTTCAAAGGTGTCCGGGTAGGCGCGAAACAGCTGTGTGCGCGCCGGGCCTTGGTTGAGACCGTCCATGAAAACGGTCACCCGTAGGGGCTCTGGGAGTGACTCTTCTTCGTTAATGTTCGCAGCCAAGATGCGAAGATCATGGATAAACTCTTGAAGGGAGCGTTTTCCTTGCTTGCAAGCCAGATATTGCGAGCGATAACGAAAGTCGCTGTTGGGTGGCAGGAACATTGCCTTGAGTTCGGTCCAAAGACCGCGAAAGATGGGAAGCAGTGGCGGTCCGTCAAGCGTTTGGAGAACGCCCAATCTTCCGCACGACCCTTCAAATGCGACATCGCGAAAGCTACGCGGGTGGCGTCGTCGGAGATACGCTGAGCGTCAGCAGCAGTGCTGACTTGTACAAGCCAGCGGAGGAGTTTGTCCGACTCCGCTCCGCCGAATTTAGCAACATCCAGCTTGATCGACTTCAAGGCGAGAAGTCGATGGAGTTTCCGACTCCGAAGCGCGCGTGAGGCGCGCGATCTCATCGTGAGCGATTCGCAGAGAATCTTGGAGGGTGCAACCATGGGACGACATGGTGGAGGCTTGGTCTTCTAAGGTCGCGAATTTCTCGCGAGCGACGCGAAGACATTTGGGCGACTTGTTCTTCCAATGCCTTCTGGGCGGCCGTAGCTTCGGCAACCGAGAGATCAATCGTGCTACCGATGCCTTCCACAAGGCGATTTTGGTTATCGGGAGTCATCCCGCCAAGGAGTAGCACGGTATCGTTGTCACCAAAACCACGACGCAAAAGGGCAAGGACCGCCTGGTGGGCTGCGGTGTTGGTGGAGGACATAATGTTGGTCGACTGGACGAACGTGGAGTGCTACCAGGTGTGAGCGTGCGCAGAGGAAGACGCAGGAGATGGTAGAATCAAGAATGAATTGATAGCGTTAAAACTACTACGCTATCACTAAGCTACGCGCAACCAACCATTGATGTATCGCGGGGGGAACACCTTGGTTGCGCAAGAGGACTTGTCGGTGTGCGAAGGTACACCTTGGACTGAAGAGACACCTTGGACTGAAGATGTGTCGACTAGTCATCCGGTTAGCAACCGGATGACGGGCACGGTTACAATGCATGCCGTTGCGATTCAGCCATATCCCACGCGGCAATTGCTCGTTTGACCATCGCCATCCTCTTCTCCTGCTCGGTCAGTGAATATGGATTCTCCTCGTCATCTTCGATCATCTCCTCAAACAGCCACATCTACGTAGGTGCCGCTTGAATGGGGCCATGACGCCAACGTCCAACAGCTGGCAGACTGACGTCGTGTTTGGTGGTAGCGCACAGAGGTGCGATCCCAGCTCTTCATTGACGATCTTGATTGACTCTTCCGAAACGTGTGACTCAAAGTTGTCAACTAGCACAACGAAGCACTCCTCAATGTCGTCGTGCAGGACCGAGTGGAGAAAATGTTTCCACACGCGGGCATCCATCCACCCTTTGTCTTGGACCGCGTTGAAGTGCCCGACTACTCAATACCACCGCCTGGTTGACCCTTCATGATGAACATGATAGGGAGCTTGGTACCATTAGCCCGGGCAGTGATGGCGGCGGTCATGCGCATAGAATGCTTCCTCCCGCATGATATCTTGGAGCTACCTCCACGGACAGCCCAAACGTAGTTAGGCGGTATATCATAATAGAAACCTGTTTCGTCGACGTTGTACGTGCACTCCATTCCGTAGGCGCTGTACGATCGATGGAAGTCGAGAGCAAACTCGTCGTGAATCTCGGCTAGGTCGCCTTGACTCTTTTTGCACTTTCCTGGTATTTGGCGAGAGAACCCGTGTCGTTGGCAGAAGCGACGAAGCAATTGCAGGATGGAGTTGTAGCCCGAGCCAGGCTTCTTTGTCGCGAGGTAATTGAGCAGCCACGGGCGTTGGTTCCGATCCAAGTGATCATGTGCATGGTTGTAAGGGCCCGCTCTGCGTCGCGCAACTTATTGATGAATTGAACGAGGCCTGGTGGATCCGGGAACACTTCGTGGCGGCCGCCTGGTTGCAGCTTCATCCGCTTCTTGTTTCTATCGAAGGCAACTCCAAGCTCGACGGCGACCTTTGTGTCGTTCATGGTCTCAAGTAGCCTCAAGGCCTCGAGCTTTAAGGCAATCGAATCCATGATGCGTATCATTGTTTTATTGCAAACTACCAAATTTGCCTCCGTCATTTTTTTAAGTCCCAAGTTTGGCAGGAGAATAAAAATTATCCAATCACGTGTTGATATTCATGATAATTTATTCTATTGGACAGAAGAAATGTCGAGTAGGGTTGCAAACTTCGGTTGGCCTTGCATTCCGTGGTTCTCTGTAGTACTTATTGCCGGAATTTATGCTTACTAGAAATAGACAAAAAATCACAAAAATCGTTGTAGATCTCGAAGATGCATGTAGAAATGCCACCTAGAGCAAGTCGTCATATTTTAATTTGAAATTGCGCTAGCAAATTGCATCAATACACAAAGAAAGTTATGAGATCCATGATAATATTTTGCAATGAACGTCGATTTGAACCAACGGTAGTGCCTCCAAAACGACGAATCCATTGTTTTTTCCTCGGAATATCTGTTTTGGATGCCATATTCAACATGATACATCCACCTACATTTACATGCCGTTAGGTTAAACAGCATGCTGACCTGTCGAGCTATGTATATCCATTGTTTTCTAGTGATTGGCTTAAAATTGAAGCCGATATGCTCGCTCAAAGTTGGCAAATTTCGAAGATTATGAAGATTTGTAGATACATGAATATTCGTGTAGATTCAGAATATTTTAGTTACAGTAGTATGTAGTGCAGTGTACAGTATTAGCTACTAGGAAATGCGAATAAATCCGGATAACATCTAAAAAATTAGAAAAGACCATTTCGACTTTCATCGGCTACACGACATGCTCCGCGGTAGCAAAAGAAAAGCAACGACTGTCCCTCGTCTGACATGGTGCACCACACCACCATGCTATTGTGCAGACAGTGCACCACCCCGACTGTGTAGCAATGAACTCGATATGGAATATGAGAACTACCCATGCCACATCACCCACTACCGCATGATGCCGACTCGCGATGTCTATTTACGTGCTGTTCTGGCCGAACCAAGAAATGCAAGCAACCTTCGTGTGAGAATTGGCGAGACAAAAAGACCATCGAGTTGTCATATTCGTGGCCAAACGATTTGTGGGATATCGATGCTGCGTACGGTGATGTCAAGGCAGACAACCCGGCAACCTTCGAGCTCAAGCCGATGATCGCTGCAGCTCGTGCGTCGTCCGAGCAGCTTTTGGGAAGTGACTGCATTCCTCCAAGATCCAAGATGGCCATACACTTGCCGTATGCCGTTGACGGCGAAACACTGACCGTGACGAAATTGTTAACTCAAGCGGCTATGATTGTGGAAGCAAAGGTTGTCAACAACGACATTCCAGTGAAGACAGTGCTTTGGAGCGATATTCGTTAGGTTTATGTACATTTAGACATTTCATAACAGTTAGTTTGTTCCCATTGTTTCACAATGTGTTTATCAACCTTGTACATGTTCGATGACCATTTGCATTGTAAATATGACTAGAATCCCATATTTCACTCATCTCCCCGAATCGAATGGCTGAAGCGAATGAATTAAAGAACCGCCTAAGTCAATCAAATCACGTTTTGTCAAAATAATTAATAACCAATCAAATCAAACGAAAATCCCTCGAAGACTTGGGGTTGAAGACGCTTGCCATTGTGATCGCGGTCGTACACAGTTTCTTTGACAACGACGTTCGCACGCATGCGGTACAATACAGGGTTGTTGCTATGTTGACTTGCCGCGTCATCTTGAGCATGGAGCGGCGACTGCGACGATCGTGTTGGATACCAGTGCGTTTGTGGTCATAGGAAGCCATGAAACAACGCATCTTCGAATTTCCATTATGGCTTATGCCCACCCGGACTGTGTCCACAACCCTGGCAAGTCCTGCTTCTACTGCGGCGTTGCCAATCATACGTTGCCTGCATGCACTAACGTAGAGTTCCAATTTAATAGACATATTTTGGAGTCGCTGCCGGGAAATGAAGCAGCTCGGCACTGAGGAATGGGTTTTTCGACTTCTGAAAACTGATAATTCAATAGGAAACACAGGTCTTTGAGGAATCACTGCAACATCAATTTTTACAGTATCTATCATGTCCTATTATCCCATTTTCCAAGCAAAACACCTCAAAAGTAGGGGACAATTTACAATTTAAGGGACATATTTTAATCTTGATCGTAGTATTGATCGATGCATACATTTTGTGTGGTTAGGGTATAATACTATGTCAGTTACATATTCAACCTCAACGGGTTATGTATTTATAGAGCCAATTGGTCAATTGATTCATATAGAACACAAGGGATCAAGGTGAGTATTAACTGTAAGTTAAGGTAACGTGACCGATCAGTGATCCGCCAATATTTGGATTTTTTCCTTCTTGAATTACTCAGCGGCTATTTGTGCTAGAACAAAGTTGGACACACATTCTGATAGACAATTTCAAGTACTTTCACAAGGATTCAAAACCGATCGGATCTGACAGTTCATGTTTCTCCAATTAATTTAGAAAGTTGAGCAATTTACACAGTCGATCAGTGATCCGCCAAAATATATACTTGAAGTGAGTATTGAATTCAGTTTAACAAAATCCAAAATCTTTAGCTGAAAATATAATATGCTAAAGGTATATTAGTTTTATAAATGTATGAAGTTTTGAAGTATTGACATGTTGGAGTGTTGGACAATTCGTGCATGACAATGCAATTCACACATGACAACGACGTGTCATTCAAAGTATTCGACATAATGATGGACAATATACACTTGATATTGTCATCCTACATTGAATGCGTTGGACAATCATTGCGTTGGCATATCAAAGTTCAAACCAAGTATATATGGGGATTCTAATCTCTCATTGCTCAATTTTCCTCCTGGTGCCCAATGCGGGTGCCAGCGGCGTAAAGTTCGTCACCACCAAGTCGCGCCTGCGTTCGCATAGTACCCACATACCGTCAGACGTCCCTAAACATGGCGCAGTCGTGGGGCAGCACAATGGTTAGCCAGTGAAGATCATTCTTCGAGGTGGGCACGATGCTTTTCGGAATTTTGAGTGAGTACTATTCACTTAAACAAAATAATCCTCCTACTATCGCCTTCGCATTTTACACGAAATAATTAGTTCTAAGTTAGCGTTATTTGCAATAAAACTCAACTTCAAAATATGACAATTTAGAAATGTAATAAACAGCCGTATAGACAATTGAAAAACGTAATTGATTTTATATTCATACAAGACACTATTGCACAATGTTGATCACAATGGGGGGTACTGCTGCAGTCGAAACTGCTACTTGGAGTGATGGCGTAGATACTTCGTGTGACATCTCATATTGCGCTGATGACATCTTCCGCTATGGCTTCAACGCTGCCTGGGCTAGCAACAAGTCGTGGTACCCGGACGAAATAATCTTCCCACTCCCAGTCAATGTCTTCCGCTTTGTGTTTTTCGGCTTCTTGAGGGGTGGCAGCAGGAGAGTCTCATCGCGGACAATGGCTTGACGTTTGATCCACGTTTCGTTGACATCAATCTCAGGAACGTCAGATGGCTTGAAAAGTGACAGCCGAAACATCATCTTGTCAAGGGACAGTGGGCAGAGTCCCGTACAAACGAAGCCATTTTTGATCGCTGATTGGCTCGTGGAGTTGGTCCACACATTACACGCGATCGACACAGCTCGCTGCTTGCTGATGCTTGTAATGTCAGTCCAGATGACATCAGAAACCGCCTGTCGAATCGCTTGCTTGAACGGCCGAAAAACCGTTGCATCCAGTGGCTGGAAAAGGTGGGTCGAGTTTGCGGGCAAAAACTGAAGGAGAATGTCGAAGACTTTGGCTTCGTCGTATACGTACTCGGAGTAGTGCGACGAGCAGCCGTCCAAAATAAGCAGCACTGGACGCTGCACGGTGGAGGGAATGTTGTCGTTGAGCATCGAGAGCCACTTGCGACAAATGTACGAAATCGTCCACCCCTTCTCAGAAGTTGTAACGGCAGCGCCAGGGATCGTAAGGCTGTCACATGTATCGGTAGATACACGGTCTCTAGGCAGCACAAAGAGCGGCGGTATCTTGGCCCCATCAGCAGCCACACATGCGACAATCGTGACGTGAGAAGCGGCAGATGACTCCTCCGCGTAAACAGGCTTTCTCGTACGGTGGACCACAACCTTCCTTGATGTCTTCGAGGGCGAGAAGCTTGTTTCGTCCATGTTGAAAATTCGGCTTGGGTCCATGTCCACCATTGACATGGAGTGTACGAGCTCGTGAAAGAATTCGACGACCGTATCTTTATCGACACCGTTTCGGGTCTTACTGAGCACTTGAGCCTTTGCGATCTTGATTTGAGGGTGTCGCTTGAGGAATCTTGTATACCATCCGGTCGTCCGTTTTGGGGATTGCATGTCTTGGATCACGGCGACCATTTCGGTGGCCTTATCAGTTATTTCTCGACATCCAACTGGATGCCCATCACGCACTATGGCAAGTATTCAGGCCACCAAGTCGAGTTCGAACGGCCGTGGCAAGACTGGTGGTGGTCCCATCGACACCGGTTGTGAGTTGCCGTTACGTGCATTGGCCACGTGTTCACGGAGTGTGCGCAAGGGAATGTCGTGAGCACGAGACGCTGAGGCAATAGTGTGTTCTTGAGCTAACACTGCATGCACGGCCACACGCAACGTGTCCTTCGTGTACGATGTTCGTGGCGGCATTTCGTTGTCAATTCAAATCGAAATCCTCTTAACGTTTATAAGTTTTGCCTCCATAATTTCTCACGAGGTCAATATTGTAAGAAGTTTTGTTTTGTCCAATACAATTCGAGAAACCATGTTATTGGATAAAAATTTTTGGCGGATCACTGATCGGTCACGTTATTGCTACAAAAATTTCAAGGTGAGTGATTGGGTGAATTCGATGTCCCTTAAATTGTCATACAGTATGTCTCTTAAATTGGAACTCTACCTTATCCTCAAGTCGGACTGTGCCCGCAACAGCATGCGTTCTGGCTTTGGCCGCACAATCTTTGACCAACACGACTCTGCCTCCGCCAATAAGATGCAAAACGCGACGTTGGCGTTTGATTGGCCGAATCCAACGCCTCCGTGACGACCGCGATGATCGTGGATGACGTAGTGGCCAGGGTGGTTTCAGTGGCCAGGGTGGTTTCAGTGGCCATGGTGGTCCAGGTTATGATGATCATGACCGTGTTGGTCGAGATGACAGTGGCCATGGTGGCTCTCGTGGCCGTGACCGCAGCCGTGATAGTGCTGGTCGTGATGAACGTAGCTCTGGTTATAATGACCGTAATGCCGGCAGTGCTGCTTATGATGTAGTGACTTGTGACCTTGGGTATGGTCGTCCTCTGGCTGCTGCAAACTACACCATTGTACTATCCTACCTCAACTGCGTCCTCGAAAAGCCGCATCCGCCTTTCGTGCTACCCAACGTTTTATTACTGGCTCTGTCCCACTCTTTGATGTGATTTACGTCGCCGCCGCACCCTTCATTCACTACCTTCGACTATGTCGTTCATCTCTCCTAAGCCTCCTTCGGCTCTGCCACATGCACCAGTTACCGTCGAGCCGAGCTCGTTGCCAGCCAACTACAGGAAACTTCGGAATGGTTCACCTATTTTTACTTCGACCCGAACATCTTTGATTGGCTGCTTAACTAGGAACTACGGCAAATATTCCAGCCAATCATACCCTGGCTGTAATATTTTGAGAGGAATTAAATTACCAAGACTAATGTGTCAAAATTTTGTGGGTCATGATTACTAGTACAAATTTCTGAAGATTATGTGAAGTTGAGAGTTCAAGTATTGACCGGATGGAAGAACACTACACAAAGATAAGCGTTTGACGCGGTGGTGCAATGGTTAGTACGACGACATCCAAGACGATTGAGGAAGGGGGGCGGGGTTCGAGCCCCGGTCAGTGTCAAACTTATTCCATAATTTAATTGAAAATATATATTACATTAGCAATAAAATATGGAGTCAACACTTGCATCACGGGGGTCGACGAAAAGACCTTCCGGAAGTGGGTTTGGTTATGGGTCCCAGTTCTTTTTTATCTAGTTTTGAGTAGATCAAATGGGAACGACGTTTTGAGAGAAGTCGCCACGATGATCGAGCATTTGCCTCCCTTGATGGTGCCGATTTTGGAATCCACGAACCGTCCATTTGATCGCAAATGGTACTCGCACAAGTTTCATGGACCAGGGTTGCGGTACGAAGTTGGCGTGTACATGCGTACTGGGAACATCGTATGGGGGTATGGGGGTATGCCGTGCGGAGATTGGCCTGACCTGCGCCTTGCCCGTGATTCCTACATTCATTGCGTGCGACAAGGTGAAAACACGTATGCTGACAAAGGATACTGCGATGCAAACTATTTTCTATTTCAACACGGCTACGATGCGCAACCCTCAAAAACTCAAGGATATCACGGCGCGCCATGAGACAGTCAACAAAAGGACGAAGCAATTCAAAGGGTTAGGTGGAATCTTTCGACATGCCCTACACTTGCACCCGCCTTGTTTTTACGCTGTCGCGAATTTGACTCAAATTTCGTTAGAAAATGGCGAGCCGCTTTTTATCATCTAAATTAATTTGAATTTGTGTGAAATAAATTTTCAAATTGGAATTCGTTGCAATAAAAAATAATTAAATTGCTCGATACCACGGATGGCTATGGCGCAGGTGCTGGAATTGCTTTTGTGAAGCTCCTGCGAATCTCCGCGGCAGACACACGATTCCACGCCACAATTGCTTGATCATGGCCACTCTCTTCTGAGCAGCGGTAGGTGTGTCGAAGTCATCGCCATCTTCCCAGGGTTGTGCCCTCCCCTTTTTGTACGCACCACAAAAGAGGGAAATATGTTTCTGGATGTTGTCACGCCAGTGTATCTGCAAGCTGCCAGGCGTGCATGCTCTACATGACGCATTATATATGGTGTTTGAATACTTATGGACCATATCATACTAATGCTTATCGTTGTACACGGCGGCTACTTTTTAGTAGAAGATGGATGACTTCTGGTCATTCCCAACGATAGGGTCTAGCGACACTTGCAACCACGCGCGGCACAAAGTTTCTTGCTCAGCTGGAAAGTAGTTCCTTCCCTTGTTCGACATGACCCTCTTTCGACAATAGAAATGGCAACTTGCGTATTTCCCATTAATAATGACTGGTGGGCTTTTGATTGTATCCGGCTATATTATGCGGATACTAACTCCAGCAAAACCACCCAAAGTCCAGTAAATTAGCGATACTTTTACTGGAATATTTGCTGGGCTCGCGATGCGACGATATTTCAGTAAATCAGCAAACATATTTACTGATTGGCCAATTTACTGGGCGAATCTCTATTTTCGCGTGAAATAGCAACAAACCCTACGGATAGCGCAAGAGTTTCTATTCTAAAGTTGTATCCGTAACTTCGAATTGAAATAAATTGACTTGTTAATGGAATTCGCAAGGTGAGCCACCTTGTTCTTTTTTAATATCCAATCAGAGTCCATCACACCTTGCTTCTCACACACGATTGCTAGGCTATATTACTGGCAGAAGAGGTTACAATTTTGAACTGTTTGAATTTTGCAGTGCTTTGTGTGATGCTGCTTGAGAGAATTGTGCACTGATGAGTTCGCTCCGACTATATCCAATGTGGTTCTTCCCTTACAGCTAACATTATGTTGTGGCCTCGGTTGGATCGCAATGCCGTGACGGCTCTGGTGGGCCAATGCGGTGGCGCAACACGCTTGGTACAGTGTTTTGTCTCCCGCTTGTTCTTGGCTTTCGGCCACGGGACCTTCGTCAAGGTAGCATTTTTACACAATGACATTAGTGAGGTTAAACACGCCACGAGGCGCCTACTGACTACCACTGACTAAAGTACTCAGTACCTCCAATAAGGTATCGGAACCTTTGACACGGCACACACACAGAGTGTGTGTGTTAGCAAAGGGTCAAACCAACGCACGACCCAATTGCTCTGCACGCTGCAGAACACTTCCCCACCTACGGAAAGTCCAGTGTCTTGATGAGGGCGGCGACGACAAGGTCTTCCTTGTTCGCCGCCGCCCGCTTGCGAAATACGACTGGAATGTCGTCCAGCAAATTCACCGCAGGTTCCCAGGACGATTCTTCACCGTCAAGTCCAAGCCACTTCACCAAAACTTGGTGTTGGCCATCCACGCAGCCGCTTCGTCCAGGCGCTCCACATGAAATCCGCCATCGTTAAACGCGATCTGCGCCTCGAGGCTTAAGTCACCTCTCTACAGCATTCGTGGTACATCTTCAATCAGCACACATGATGGACCGTGACTTCATACGGTGGCACCATCTGCTGAGTCTCCATCACATGGTCTGTGATGACTCTGGCCACTTGGCAGGGTCCTCGCCAATGCAGGGCCAATTTTGTCGGACGGTTGACGACCGATCCGACAAGCACAAAATCGCCGACCGAAAAACCCGCAAACTTGACTTGGGATTTTCGGTCACGGTGTCCACGCGCTTGCTGACGCAACTTGTCGCTTCGCACCGCCACGTTGCGGTGCATTTCTTCTAGCGCGACTTGGAGGTCCGTCACATGTTTCTGACGGGCGGCGCCAAGCCAGTCCGCGACGTAAACTTCCTTGGACGTCGGGTGGACAAATACTGCCAGCGGGGTCTTGGCTGGCAGGCCGGTAAACACTGTCACAGGCACAATTCCTCCCAGCCGTTCCGCCGGCTGATGGTTGAGGGTGCCTTGAACGAGGGGCAACACATGCGGCCATTCGTCCGCGTTCAGCTTCATTTCGCTGTGCAGCGCCTTTACGGCGCGCAGCACTAGTCGGTTGACTACTTCTACAGTCCCGTTCGCCCAAGGACTGTAGGCTGTTGTGATGTGATGGTGGGCACCCACCAACTTCCGCACCTTCTCTACCACTTCGTTCTTGAAGTGAGAACCGCCATCTGACACCCATGTGTCAACGCAGCCGAACGTGGTAAACCACGTCATCAGGCACTGAGCGGTCATGGCGGCGTCAGCGGACTCTGCCGCGAACAGCTGCACAAAGCCACTCATGTCGCCCTTCACGACAAGCACTTGTTTTTGGCCAGACTTCGCCATGGGCATCGACAACCAGTCGAAATGGATGAGCTCGTTCGGCTTCTCCGCGTGAAGCGCCGAACCCAAAGGACGGGGAACCATTTCTCCGTCAATGCACAGGCAGTGCAAACAGGCACGCACGAACGCTTCAACGTCCGTGGGAAGCGTCTTCCACACAAAGTTGTCGGACACCGACTTGGTCGTCGCTGCGATGCGACGGTGACCGCTGGCTCCTTGGTGATCGATCACACAAATCCGCTGCTGTAGGTCAACAGCACCGTCTGGGATCCAGATTCGTCCATCTGGGTCCACGTAAAAATGGGAGTCGTCGTCCCAATCCACGCCGTTTAGGGGGGTCCCTCCCCCTTCCATGGTTGAACGTTGGATGCCGCTGATCGTAGCGGCTGTCGGCCACTCGAAATCCACTTGTTGCAGGGGCGATACCACATGGATCAACTTGCAAACATTCGCAACTGGTTGATCCGTCGGAGCCGAACCCAACGGCTCAGGAGGTCGCCCCATACATTCGCGTCCCCCGAGACGCACTCAATGGTGTACGGGAAGGTCGACATCACCAGCGACCATCGCTGCAGCTTGTCGGCCTGGTACTTGGCCATGTT